GGGACCTGTGGCTTCGTCCATTCTTGCAAACAGCTGAGCACCCGCGCCCGAAATTGACGCAGGCCCTGCCTGGCCGCGTGTGTCCTCCTTTTCCTTGTCACCTTTTTCCCGCAGCAAACTTGTAAATTCACTACATTATTATTTCTTACCCTTTTTCTGCTTTAAAAACTCATGTAGCAGTTTTCCTAAGTCAAATATATATATTTTGCCTTTGCTGAAAAAGAAGAAAGGGAAAAAATGCAAGAGGAAAGGTTGAAATCCGGAAGACATCGCCGGCTTCCATGTGGATGAGCGGGGGAGATGGGCTCTTCCCGCCCCGCTCACCTTCCGTCTCGTCGTAAACGCGCCCGTCTCTGGGTCGAAGGCGTGTGCTGATCGCCGTCCCTGGGGAAGCAGAATGGCGACATCCGTGAACTCCTCTCTCTCCCGAGAACGCACAGGGTCTGGGAGTCTAGACCGGAAACTTGAGGAACGGAAGCGAGAAGCAGAGTTCTGTCTCTTCCGTCCGGCACCTGCGCCGGTGCCCGGATGTTTCCCGCGGGCTCTGGGAGAGGTTCGCACGAGCGCAGTGATCCCCGCTGACTTGAGTCCACCTTCAACAAAACCAGCACGTTTTACTCATCTCTCTGCATGTCCCGGATCTCCTAAGTGCCTGTGTCTGCTTATCTAAATCAGCCGTTTGTTCTGAGCCATAAAACCTTCCTTCACGAAGGTGACGTACCGGGTCCGGCTTTGCCACCATGACCGTGCGCCTCTGAGCGGTTTACGTTTTTATACAAACGACTGCAAGGATTTTAAAGACAAATCGAAACACTGACTTACAGCCCAGGACCCTCCATTGACAAATCCTTTCTTCTAATCTCACTTAAGAAATAGAGGATGCTAATTTTGAAAAACAGATGTTTTGAAATTTCATCCAAAGAAATTACGTTTGTACCCACATGCAGATCTGCGCATAATCTCAGAAATGAAGTTACCCTTCCATAAAGAGAGGGAGAAAGAGGGTCAGGGAGAAAAAGAGAGAACACAGGAGGAAGGGCTTGTCAGACCGAGAACAAGTTTTCTCGTGAAAAACACAGTCGGCATCACCGATCACCGCTAAGGAAGCGCAAATCAACCGCGAAGAGAGACTGCTTCGTGCTCGTAGGGCGGCCGTTATTAAACACAAAAATAAAAACAGATCGAAAACAGGAAAACAGAATAGGAAGCGTTGGTCAGGGTGCGGGAAACCGGGACCCTGTGCGTTTCTGGTGGGAACTCAGGGCACGGCCATTGTGGCCGTTCCTAAAAAAGCTAGACAGAGTCGCCACAGGACGCGGCGCTTCCACTGCTGGGCGTGTGCCCCGAAGCCCCGAAGGCGGGGACTCAGCAGATCTCTGTCCACCCGCGTCCACAGCAGCGATGTCCGTGACAGCAAAACGTGAGAAACAACCCCCACGTGCATAGGGCCCCAGGTAGATGGAGTAACAAAACGTCGT